ATTTATGTTTTCTGTATTAATAATTACGTCAAATTGAGAGGTTGAAACGTAGAGCAATTGATTTACATTTCCCAAGAAATGTAATCTGCCAGAATAATGCTATGAAATTGGGTGACCTTTGAGACCAGGTCCTACTGCGGTAAGAGAAAATAATAATAATAAGTGATTTGGTATGGATCATAATAAATTAGTATACCACTTGTCATTTGATTTAGCACTTGTTGGTTGACCAAGTTAAGTAGTAAATTTAGAGGAAACATTACATTAGTTTGTCTGCCAACTTTGTGAATTTTAATACTAATTCTCTCTCTTGATTTAACAAAACGGTGGAGTATTTTGGCAATTTTAGTTCCAAGTCTTCATGCACATTGATTAGTTATTATAATCGTAAANAAACATTACATCAGTTTTTCTGACATCTTTGTGAATTGTAATACTAATTCTCTCTCTTGATTTAACTAAACGGTGAGTATTTTGGCTATTTTAGTACCTAGTCTTCATGCACATTGATTAGTTATTATAATCGTAAAGGAAATTTATCATAATACCCATGTGGAAATCTAGTGATGACGTAACTAATGTTAACTACTGCTTACTCTTAAGTAAATAAAGGATTTCCCAAAATTTTATTATAAAACAGAAATATTTGGGTAGCGATCTTGGATTTCTAAAATTTAGGTCGTTACATCTATTATACACAGACTGTACAATAAAAAACTTAATATGAAATCCCACAATACCACGAGTATTGTCCGCAGACAATGTGGGGATTCGAAATTAAATAGAATTGTTTTTATTATAAATGCTTTGTTGCCTACATTTCTCAATTGCTTTTCTTGCATGTGCAAAATTTCAAGTTGTTCCACAAGTATTTTTCTGACTCATTTTTCATCAAAGTTATAACAATAGTATTGGTTAAACTTCAATAACTTGATTGCAACTATTTGAAAGTTTAGAAACCTAATAGCATATAGGGTAAAAATTCAATGACCTATAGGGCTATTAATTACTGACCAGATGGACACGTTGGCATCTTTTAAACCAAAAATGCTGGACGTCTAGGGGGCAATTGGCCCCATCCTGTAGTTGGGGGTGTCTGGACATCTAAGCAGTTTTCATGGTTGGTGACAAAGTCTTGTGAAATAAAAATTAAATTGAAGTTCATGGCATAGTTGAGACAATTAAAATTTAGTAACTCAATTGAAATTTCACCGAAAGTTTAGTGACGTTCGAATGATTTAATCCTACATAGCTTTGTTGTACAATTTCTATAATGCACGTGCTTAAAAATTAATATACATCAGTATTAATGTGCTAAAATAGATTGTGACTAACGTCTGTTCTCTTAATCGCTATAAAGTATCGGATATTGTGATAGGGATTCTCTTTCTATGAGCTATATGATATCAAAAATTGTGATATCCAAATCTTTTACATATTTATCACCACTACTGTGTATGCACTTTCCATATAGACTTTTGCATTTTATACGATGAGTAGGGTAAAAATCTAGTTGAGGGTAAGTGTAGAAGATATTTTATTTCCAAGCATGGGATCAATTATGAATTTACAAAACACTATCAAAATGGAAAATATGTGATTTTTTGGAATGAATTTGAAGTCATATGTATAAATTATAATACATGAAACTGCAATACAACAATATGGCACGATAAGATTATTGATTGAGTTTGGTGTTTTTAAAATACGTGAGTAAATAAATACTCTAAGAATGAAAAAATCTTTAAACAAATTGTCATCATGGATTAAAGAAAAAAAAAAGCTAAGGATATAGGTGCGATAATTAATGAAGATATTAAAAAAAAAAAGTGGTGTATTTATAAACACGTGGTGTAAATATAATCGTACAAGACAAATTATTTTTGTTGGTGTACGAACTCACATCGACCTCGAACTCACTATAAATTAAGGAAAGCTAATAAAAGATGCTAACTTCCTCAAAAAGGATGGACTCGGAGCTCATCTAGTCAACTCGACCTAGTGTTGCCGTCATCTGAAAACATTATCATTGCAATCTTGAATAAATGCCTTTCCAATGATGTC